TAGAAACTGACTCAGGGAGCGTTTGGTGGCTATGTCGGAGGACAGGAGATTGGCGAAGGTACCATCCGTTAGCTGCTCGGGCAGACACGAGCAGAGAGCATCACGAGCCCTAGGAAGCAAAAGGTCAAAAGTAGTCCATCAAGTGTGGCAGTTCGAGGTAGGTTAGATTATTTGGTTTAAGCGAAAGAGGCCAGGCCACCGAACACGCAAGCCAAGCGGCTGTTGGGCGCTCACCCGCACTCCAAACCCCCAGACTTACGAAAATTATCCGATCCAAATATTACGATCCATGCTACGGCGTCCGGGGTAACCGACGTGAGCAAGGGTTACTTATAAGCAATGCTGTAGTTTACTACAACAAAACTATCTACAAACTAAACTAACCTGAAATTAATAAAACTAAATAATAAACTAAAAAGTAAACTGACCTAAAAATAACTTTACTAATGATTTGAACAAGGCAAAGACTATGAGACTAGCGGAACTGAATGACGTCATACAATTTTGTGACCGCATAGCCAACCCTTATTCCTCTTACTCAAACTAACTAAACGACAGATAGGAGACAGACAGACGAGGAGACTAAAGGCGTGGCGAGAGACACATACAGTGGCTCAAACATGACTGGTAGAACAGGCACACGCAAGAAAGGACGGCATAAAGACGAGGGCCGTGAGCCAGAGTATCCATATTCTGAAGATGGGTAGACGAGGCAACTACCCGAAACGTCAGGCTTGTAATAAACCTTTCCCGGTGAACGCTCCTCTTTCTTCTAACTAAACTAAGTTACACTAAACTTAACTAACTAAAAACGACAGTTAAACTAAACTTAAACCAATAAAACTAAATAATAAGCAAATAAACCGATAAAACCAAATTAAATAATAAACTGCAACGAAATAAGTAGCTAGTTATGTTAAAGTAAACTACGGTGTTACTTATAAGGAATCCCTACCCCGACGTGTTTCGCAACCCATTCCGATCGTTTACGTAACTTTTAGTACATTTGAATTTAAGCACCTCATTACAATTCGCCCGCAATAGCTCGGCCGTCACAGGTAACGAGGTGGACACAAGCGTGACAGGCACGTGAACTTACTTGCAGTGAAGCATACTTGTTATTTCCGGCTGAGCAAGTTGCAAATTCTCCAGGTCCCTCTACTGAAAATTCTGTCCCCCTTTCCTCTGAGCCGCGTGTCCGTGTCCCCTGCATCCCTCGAATGCTGGCAGTATTGCCTCTGTACACGGCTGCTCCCCCCCCACCTTTTTGCGCTGGTGTTTCAGACCAATGGGAGCCCAAAGGAACTGCCTCCTGAAATCACATAAAACTTACGGTCGCCACCTCTCCCACCAACACATACACCCTCCCCCCACGACTGGTTTTGTCCTGAGTGACATTGTTGTCGAACGTGCGTTGTTCCCTTATTTACAGTCAAGCAATTTGGCTGACTTCCTTCGTTCTTGACCTTACCTATCCATTGTTGAGGTTTATACGTTGTTTATCCTTCACTACTTTTTGCTAAATAGTACCGTACTGCCTTGCTAGTTGTTACCATTGGAGTTGACGTACGCGTGACTACTGGGTACAGAGTCAAAGAAGTCAAGAAGACGAAACAATACTTGTCCTGCCACTTTCTGATTGCAGTTCAAAGTGAAGACAACGGGAGGTTGGCGTTGGTGCAGTGGATTAAGGGCATAATCAGGTCGTCCACACGTGAAACTGTTGCAACCTTCAGTCCTTAAAGGGATAGCTACCTCGTCATATGACGACCTTCCAAGGCCTGGCATCTAGTGCTTGTGGTATGTACAAGAGCAATGGTAACCTGGCGCTCATGGATCTCGTTACGGGACATGTCCGTCCTGTCACGCCTTGGGGGTCGCTCTCGAATCCCGATTGCGATCCGGTATATTAACAATGCTAGAGGGGCGCTCACCAATCAAGTTACGGAACGAGCAAAATGAGCCAGTGGCTCAGGGGTTAGGGTGTTGGACATCTAGCCAACGGGTCGCGGATTCGAGCCTCAGCGATTGTAACTCCTAGGGTTGGGTATGAATGGCTAGTGACGGCTAATAAACCACAAGTGACCATTCCAGCCTCTCTTATCTCGGTTAGTAATATCATTGTTAATATGCGAGAAAATTCGAGGTCCAGATTAAATATCCCTTACATCATCCACGGAAGAGGAAGAAGAAGAGGAGACGACGTCTGGGACC